CCTTTTACCTTTTTTTCGCCCCTTTCATGACACTCTTCCTATACTTCCATACAATGGTTTACGCACCCCCAATACGCCACCACCCATCTTACTACTGGCTATGGCTGCCATCGGAGCAATGTACTCACGAGACAAGTATGGCGGCCTTGCTATCGCCCTCAACGAGCTGGTACGGAGGGTCATCATTTATACTCGCGAGAAGGATCAGCGAGCCATGTTCGACTTGAGATTTGCGCAAGCGTCCCTCCTACAGTCCGTCTTCGGCCTATTTTGTGGATCACGAATGCTGTACCAGCATGCCGAGATTAGCAGAGGCAGTTTGGTAACTGCGGCGAGAAGAATGCATCTCCTTAGGCCTAGTTTGTCATTCGTGAAAGAGCTTCAGAAGAATGGAAATGAATTCAGCGAAGAGGAATTAAAGAAGGCGCAAGCTGATGACGAGGAGAGGAGAAACCTGGGGTGGGGTATATACGTAGGTCACCACCCCATTTGCGAGCTAGAGAGCTTTGCACTGGCTAACATAATGCAGCTTTACGATATGCAGATATCCGCACTTCTCAATGTTGCCCCTCTTTTGTCTGTAGGCGAGATAAATGTTCCTCTGCCAAGTGGTGATGAGGCTGGAAGGGGCCACCAGCCTTCGGCCTTGGACATGAATTTGGGACAAGACGGGCCCAATTTTCGAGAGGTGCTAGAGTCACTACTTTTGAAAGGAAAGCTATCGCAACCCTTGAGTTCTTTTGGGTTGTCCATTGTTGCATACACTCTTTACAGGTATGGTGAATCCATTGCCAGAAAGGCTTCGAGACTGATCGTGCGTAGACTATGCACAGATGCAGCCGTATTCGATTCGGTGTTGCCAGCGTCCAGGCCACCCCGAGAAAATCCCTATCGTCTTGCCTTCCCGCCTACGTTTAGATTGTAAGTGTCGCAACGTACAGCACATATACTTTGTTCCTGATACAATATATGCAGCAACCCGCAACAGCTCCTCGACCAACTTTCTGCATCGTGTCATTCCTTGCCCAATAAGCCCAACACACTCATACTAAGTGTAACTGCTCTTTCACACCTGGGCCACATTCAGTTCACATGGCCCAATTTTCTTCAAAACATCAAGGTAGCGGCGGGGAAATCTGGAACAGATGAGAGCAAGGCGGACGCTCGGGAATGGGTTCGAGCTCGCATTGAAGAGGACCCAGTTATCACGAGGGGTATACTCGTACAGGCAGGACAATTGAGCATCTTGCTGTCGAGGTTTATATTTGAGTACGAACCCCATCGGCTGATGTAGCGGACTAGGCTGACGAAAGTTAAAGTTCGCCGACTGAGACGATATTGACGTTTGATGTTGCTCTTACATTCTGGGCCATCACAAAGTTGTCGAGTAACCTTACTGAATCAGACCAGGACAGGCGGCCGGCCACGATAACGTGCAAGTCTCCTCGGACCTTCCTCCACTTGAACGGATGCTAACATGAAATATTGTGCAGGGTCTGACAATAGCGCTGCAAGTGACTGGATACAACATGGGGGCGAGATAGCATTTCAGGGCCTCGGAAGCATGTCTGAACTGACCATCTCTAAAGTTCTGTCAATCTTTATTGAGCGGTTGGAAAGCATGTCGTGGGGTATAGCTCAACGATTCAAACATGTATTACTAAGTCTACAAAGGGAAGAGTAGCTTCAAATAAGGGGGTTGTGCCATGTTGACGACCCATCGGAGTGAAAAGCTGAAGTTTGTTGATGATCAGCTGAAAACCAGTTCTGGCCCCTCGGCGTGAGTCGATTATAGGTTCTGGTCCAAGTTGTAACAAGAGCCTGGTTTTATCAATGAACCATCCCGAACCGTCGTCTTGGTGAAGAAGGAACAATACATGGACGTGATGGGCACCGTAGACGGTCTCGTGAGCTAGTAGTGCGTTCAATTCCTCCCATCATCAGCATGCAGCTGCTGAGTTGAACTAGCTAGCTGTTCCTAGTCCTGTCAAACATGAACCATCTTCACGAACGAACATGTGGCAGGAGCTAGACCCCCCTTGTGGAGCATCATTCAACCGCAGCTCCAAGGACCAACACCACGGCGTTGTGTCTAGCCAATGCTCATCGTCTCCGCTTCTCCACCAACAGTTCCGGTCACCCACAATGGTTCCGATGCCACAGGCGATTTCGGAATGAATGTCAGCCAAGTATAAAAGCCAACCATGTCCAATATTCATACCCAAGTTATGAAAATAGCTCCTGAATTACTTATATTGCCGTTGGAAGTGGTACACAATCATGGCACCCCCATCGAGCTTCAAACTCAACACTGGCGCCTCCATTCCTGCCGTTGGACTTGGTAAGACGCCCGAGTTTGTGAAGCGAGAGAAACGAAAACTGAACGAGCTTAGGAACATGGCAAGCAAATCCGGGCGAGGTTGGAAAGGCCGTGGAGCACGCTCTTAAGTCCGGCTACAGGCACATTGACTGTGCGCTCATTTACCGCAATGGTGTGCTACACCCCTCCAGCAAGCCCAAGGAGCATCACTTATTAACCTCCGCCTAGAGAAAGAAGTGGGAGACGCCATCAAGAGATCTGGGGTCCCTCGGAAGGAAATCTTCATCACTAGCAAACTGTCAGTTACTCTAAGCTCCCAGTCTCCCACACTTATTCAACAGAGTGACCTGACCGAAGAACAGCTGGAATACGCACCAGACTGACGTGGCCGCCGGTCTGGCCCAGACCTTGGAGGATCTTCAAACGGACTATCTCGACCTTTACCTTGTGCACTGGCCAGTGTAAGTGCATTCGTGCCATGGTACCACGTAATTGTTGCTGACCCCAGCCAGACGCCTTGTGCCCAACGAAACGTCTGACCTTCTTCCCGTGAACCCAGACGGCACGCGTTCTGTTGATCGCTCTTGGGACCAGCAAGACACCTGGAGGCAGATGGAGGAGGTCTACCGTTCCGGAAAGGCCAGGGCAATTGGCGTGTCGAACTGGAGTGTGCCGTACCTAGAGCACTTGAAGAAGACGTGGACTGTGACGCCAGCTGTGAACCAGGTAGGCCTTTCTGCCCATCCCACCCCGCTAGATGCTCATGTTGTCTCCAGGTCGAACTGCACCCGTTCAACCCGCAGCACAAGCTCAAGGAGTGGTGCGACAGTCACAACATTCTTCTAGAGGCATACTGCCCTCTGGGCTCTACGGGTATAGTACACCCTCCTAATGAAGCACCGTACGGGTGGATATTGACAGCTTCTCAGGCGCCCCGCTTCTTGAAGACGAGCAAATCGCCAGCATTGCAAAGAAGAACGGTATTTCGCCAGCTACGGTGCTAATCTCGTACCAAGTGAACCGGGGCTGCGTTGTCCTGCCCAAGTCCGTCACTGCGAACAGGATTGAGCAGAACCTCAAGGTGGTTGAGTTGTCAAAAGAGGATATGAACGTATTGGACGGAATGGCTGCGAGTGGCAAGCAGAAGAGAGTCAATACCCCGGCCTGGGGTCATGATTTGGTATGTTGCCCGAGTTCTCATACTGTAAAAGGGATATGCATGCTGACGTGTGTGGCAGGGGTTTGAGGACTGGTATGGGCCGGTGCCGAATTAGTTGGGAGACTGAGTTTCTCATCTCGCCTCTTGCGGGGATTTGCATCTGGCTCAGATGAGAACACGAGTTCTGATATTTTCTTTGCAGTTGCGTGGGCGGTTGTTCTCTGTACCATTCTGGAATCTTTGTTGTAGAACGGATCAACAGGCTCTAGCGTTGCGTCGAGCGAGTTGGTCGTGGAGACGTCTTTGGTGCTCGGGTTTTCTTAGCTGTCCTACCGTTTGTGGCAGAATATGATTCGACTTTATATCTGAGCTACAGCCGTTTGAGTCTCCAAGATATTGTGGGCCCATCAAGCCATGTGATTGGCTCTATCACCAGCACTGTGGGGCATGCATGTCGCTTGTCCCGGGAATAAGCTCGAATCGCTCCGGGCCGCTAAAGCGATGCTATTCGCTGGCGGATTTGGTCTTGCATCCAGGAGGAGGCTACACGTGCAAACAAGTAACTGCGTAATTGATACGCACCGCGTGGTCCGAACACCTGGTGGGGTCAATTGCTCGGGGCGCTCGTCCATTTTGCTCGGGGCGCTCAATACCCCACCACGCCCCAATTTTAGTCTAGCGGCCCCGCTGCTAGACCCTATCCCTTTGAGTGTGTTAAGGTCCAAGTGAGGTATTATACCTACTTTTCTGCGATACCTAACAGGTACTTCTTCGGTAATTATATCTGCCACGATAGGAAGATGTAGCTCTTTGTAAATTTAAATATTACTGGTACTTACACTATCACATTACTTCTTAGTGAGACTTTGTACCGTTTAACACGGTTTTTCTCATTGGCCAGAACCCCTGCCCGGTACGAAAAATGGACCTTAACACATTCAAAGGGATATGTAGTTACAGGCCACAGCTGGCAGCTAGGCCACAGCGGACAACCGATGACGCCGGGCGACTCCACTGTTCACGGCTAGGTGCCTATCTAGGTACAGCGAACCCACTGTACCCAAGCAAGGTATGTGCCAGTCGCGCGGGTGCAGCCATGTAAGATAGATCCCTCGGGAATACCTGTCATCTTTGGGCGAGAATGTCCAGATGTGACCAGATAATTCTGCCGCACTAATGTACCCCTTGTTGTCCCGACAAGGGATTTCTCAAACAGCAACCAATAATCAGTCTTTGTGTCAATCCTATTGCAAACAAAAATAGATTTGTCGGGTGGATAGCTCCTTGACGACCCCGTGCGGGGAGCGCACTGACTAGCGACAAGGTCAAAGTTTACTAGGTCAATTGGTCCTCAAGCAACGATGCGATACCTCTGATGTCCAGCTGTCTAATGTCTGTTACAGTACTTGAGAAGTTGCTCCGTTCTTGACGACAATAAGTCACAGTCATGCAGGCAGGCGGGGGTGCCGGTGCTGCGTCACCATCGGGGCTGGGACCGGGACCTCCTAATGTCTGGCCACCATCCTTCAACACGAATCCCTCTCTCTCTCACACATCCCTTTGACTGTGTTAAGGTGCGTCCGATGTATTGAAGTGGGGTTCTGGCTAATAAGAAGCCTTATACTTAAAGGTACATTATATAACTAAGAAATCATAGGATAATAAGAGTACCTATTAGTTGAGGTATACTTAAGGCTACTTTATTTATATCTATTTAAGAAGCTTGAGCTATCAATTGATGTCTTAAGGTAGCTTAGATGTACTGAGCAACAGTGGGGCCTATACATCCAACGCACCTTAACACAATCAAAGGTCATACGAGCTTGTTTTGCAGCATCTCTCCATAATCGCAATCCTGTCGTTTCTTCTATTTTACACCAACCGGGGCAGAAAATAAATTTTGACCACCAGTCAGGGTCATCCAGCCTACCTAGGTACTTGGCAATTCAAGCTTCCTAAACTCGTGTCGTTGTACATCGTGACACTACCAACACCAAGCTGCTGAATTGAGCGGGGAATCCCCGCAGAACCGACCAGTCGTTAGAATAGTTGACGGTGGACCAGATTCCATCAAAACCAACTGAGTGCAGGGCACGGAGAACCTTATCAACCTTCGGATGCCGCATTCGATGTCGTGTCCCGAGTACCTAGGTATCTTGGTAGGCAATGCTAAACAATGACTACTAGTATGACCGTCATCGTAATGTCATGACTCACAACCGCTTATATCGTGTCATCACCACCAGGTCCATTATGAAAGGCTGTTAACTAAGACTTGGATTGCCGCAACATTAAGCTTGAGTGGGTAGCAAAACGGTGCATCCATAACCTTGGTGCTCTGCATTCCATGCCTAATAACCACGTATTAAGTCTGGCATGGGGAACCAGTTGACAATATTTGTTGGCCAGCCAATACACTCCAAGTTGATCTTCCAGGACCTGCTTCGCTGGGTTCTTTCCCTAAAAGCAGCGAAGGCGGCAGTGAGGTCACGGAATCCATAACGCCCCTGCCAGCAGCCGGTAATCTCGAGTGATATTGGTGATAACTTATATTAGGCCTAATAAAGGCCTGGTTATAATATGTGTGACGTAGCTTTTTACAATTGAGAAGCGTATAGGGACTTTTATAACGTAAATTCGGGTATAATAAGTGCCTTTTAAATACCAGCTTTTAAATGGCTTAAAATTCCTGTCATGACATGCTGCCGCCTTTGCTGCTTTTAGGGATGGGTACGAGAGCGTCACGCCACCGAGATAGTAAACTTGGAAGTCTAGTATCTCATCAGAGTGATGTAGTTGCTTGCCCGCCATCACATCTTTGAGTTGGCTGTACGTATGTGACAGCAATTGTGCTCTATCCTCCGCGTCGAGTTGCTGCATCCGTCCCTGGTTGTCCGTCCCTATGCTGAAACACCTCTGCGACGATCTTCAAGATCAGCACGACTCGCCATTGCACTGACGCCACATGCTAACGCAGGTTAAAAAAAGAAGTTATGCTGCCCGCGACTTTATGAACGGATTTAGAGATGCACATGTCAAAACAAATTGCAGCTATCGGGAGCCGTCAAGGCCAGCCAACCTGGCCCTGCTGCTCTCCTCTTGATTTTCTCCAAGGGACTTGTTAGGGAGAAAAGTGGACTCGGTCACGTTATGTGGTGATATGAGGGGTAATAATACTAGGGACACTTTAAGCATAAATAATAAA